ACTCCAAATGGTGCGTGCCAACAATATTTATGTTCACAAGGATGACATTCCAAACGAAGGTGACGATAATGAAGATTCTGATGAAGATATGCCTCCTGCTGCTGATTTTCCTTCTGATCAAATCCAAAGTGTTGGAACTTCCTTTGTTCATCATGAAACCCGTCAATCTATGGAAGATATGTTATCTGATATGAATCAGAGGATGCAGGCATTCTTCACTCTTTCTCGAGTACGGCATGAGGAAATAATTCGCCGTATATCTGATGTAGATGATAAAGTGTGTCATTTAGAAAATAGATTTGATGCACACTTTCATAGTGATGATAGTGAAGAATTTTAAATTTGTTTTTATTTTCTTTTGTGTTGTAATGTAATTTCATTTCTGAAGTAAACTGTGTGGTGCTCTTTTAATGCTTTGATTGAGGGGGAGTTATCTCCAAGTTATGCATATTTTGAGGGGGAACTCTTATGATTGTTATAGAAGGAGCTTTCATTTTTTTATTATAATCAAAATAGGGGAAGAAATATTTAAAGCCTCTCATGATTGAATTTAAATATTATTTGGTATATTTAATGTGTTGTTAGTGTGACAGATAAAACAGGTTATTACAAGGCTTTAAAAGAAAATTTTGATCATCATCAAAAAGGGGGAGATTGTTGAACATTCAAGGACTTGACGTTGAACTTACATGGACATGAAGCTTGTTGATTTTGATGATGATTCAAGAACAAAGAACTTAGAGAGTTGAAGACTTATTTTATAGTGTAATAACTCTATTTTGATTAGTTTGAGTATGTAATATTAGAGTTTAAGATAGCTGGTACATAGTCTGCACTTTAGAAGCTTCAAAAACTCAAATTTATCAGTTTGCCTCGGCTTTAATCGATTAAATGGTCAGATAATCGATTATTACAGTGAGAAAAACCCTTTTCTGTATCTGTTCACTGTAATAATCAATTAACAGGCCTGTTAATCGATTAACAGGGCTTTTAATCGATTAACATGGCTTTTAATCGATTAAAACAGAGAGTTTTGGGGTTCTGTTGATTTTGGCTCTGTAATAATCGATTAACACTTCATTTAATCGATTATTTCAGTCAGATTTTGATTTTCTACTTCAAATTAAACCTATTTTCGAAAACCCTAATCCCAAGACTCCTAGTTCCGAAAATCCCAATTCCCAAACCCTAATTTCTCTACTTAAGCTTCTCTATGGCACTCAGAAAAATTGAACAACCTTTTTCAAACAAAATTTAAGTGTTGTGAGTGCCAGAGAACTGTTTGTTGGAGGAAAAAGGGGCTTTTGGAACTTGGTGTGGGCTAGAAGCGATAAGAATCCCTAAGTGGATTGTGTGTTGTGCCGTCTCTGGGGAAAACTATTCTTCATCTCTTGTGGGTTTCAAGAGATGTGTTTTCTTTATTTTGTATTTTCAATTGTTATCTGTTTGTAACAACTTTGATTATAGTGACAGCGTTAATCCTCTGTTTGAGTGATTAGCAACTGGACGTAGGGTCTTTTAATCCGAACCAGTATAAATCTCCTGTGTAAGACTCTATCTTTATCTTATTTACGTTTACACAGCTTTTTTATCGGTAAAATTTGGGGAAAATTTTGAAAACCTAATTTTGTTAAGAAACCAATTCACCCCCCTCTTGGTTTTTGTCCAACCACGCGAACATTCTGCTGCGCGATTCTAACAATGATGTGAGCAATGCATGAAATGAGGATGTTCCAATGTAGTTGTTTTTTATTTTACCAATGATATTGTTGGAGAATTGTAAAATTTAAAATTGATTATAAGTATTAAAAATCCATGATTTAGAATCAAGAAGTACCCCTCTCACCAAACTATTGTAGGGCTGTAGAAATTGAACATAAGACATTTTAACTTTCACATAAATTGTCCCTTTTGTCTCACAACTTGATCCTATGTCTTGTTTTTTCAACTACTCTAAATCAAACTTTAATGTTTACAATTCTCCTATAAGCTTATTTAATGCAAAAATAAAAATGAATAAGTATAAAATGATATATGCAAATATGATATTAAAAAGAATTATTGAAAAATTATATGATCTTAATGCAAAATATGTAACATGAGAAAGTAACAAAAAAGAAAGAGTGGTGGGTATGGATAAAGATGTCCCATAATATCCTAAGAGGTATTAGTATATATCTTATAAGTTTAATGATTTTCTCTAGCAAGTGGGTCTTATAAAAAGGTAGTCAAATATCTAAAGCTTTCTTGGTCTCTAAAGCTTAGTACTCCTCTCGGTTTGTAACTACAAATTGGAAGAACATCCAAGGTGTAGACACTTGCGAAAGAGTCACACTTTATATAAGACTTTCATAATTACTAGATTGGAAGTACATCCAAAATGGTACCACTAATTATCTTTCACTCGCCAGGTTACATTCAAGCCCCCGGGTATAGGGCCTCATTCATAAGTGTGTGAATAAACGTGAGTGTAGTGTGTGAAGGGGCTAGTCCTAAACTGCTACTTGTAAAACAAACAGAATATACACAACAAGAACATGTCCCCTATCCCAATATTTTATTTAAGCAGAGATATTTACAATGAATAAGTGAAGATAAAATCACATAAACACATACAAATAAAGCTAGAGAAGGAGGGATTCAACAAAATAAAAGATTTTTAGCTTTTTACATCTAATTATGAGATGCTTGACTCAGACTCTTCACTAGAATCGTCATCTGTCACAACCAAAACTGCGATTGGACGACAATAAAAAAATGTTTCTAAATGAAAGAAAATAGTGGAGTTGCCAATATTTATTTTGAGGAAAATATTAGAAAACACCTTCAAAGAAAAAAAGGATGGTCTACGAAACAAAAGTTAGATCCGAGAGTCGATTATATGTAGGGAATGTATTAACACCCTACAACATCCATTCTAAAGATGATTATCTTTAATTAGATGTGAAAAAGTTAAATATCTTAAAATTATTTATTTCATCCCTCAAAATTATATATATATCTATGAAATGTTGTTTTAATAAAAAAAATTATATTTTTTATTTTTGGCTCAATAAAGATTATATCTCTCGGTCCTACTTATCCTTAGGTGCAATGCGGAATCAACGTGACATAGTTCTTTGTAAAAAAATATTTGAGAATAGTTTATTTTAATTTATCTATTTGTGTTACTAAATTGACAATATGTTTAAAATTGTTTTAAAATTGAATAATTATGTAATAATTAAATTATAAATGCATCTAAAGTGATCATTATTTCATAATTTAAGTAATAATTAATCGAAAGTGCATCTAAAGTAATTATTAATATTTAAATTGTTATATTTATAATTCCTATTTAGATTTAAAATATATATATCTAAAAAAAGTATTTTATTATAATCAAATCAAAAGCACATTTAAAATGATTATTATAGTTCTATGATATACATCCAAAATGATTAATTTTTTTATCGAATATTTTGTTACAACTCTAATAAAAATAGTATTACATATTTAGTAATTCAATAAAGTAATATTTGAGAAGAGAAAATGATATTTATTGAAATTAAAATTATCGATATACTATCAATGATATACTAATTTAATTCATTTCTAAAAAAAGTAGTTTGAGTCATTTTTATTTAGAATTTGAAAAAAATAAATAAATAATCTTTCAGACCCATTATTATTTGCAACATGTTTCTGTCGTGTTGTCTCAAGTTTAATAAAAACATTAAGCTAACTCACAAAAATAAAATAAAAAAAATTCTTTAATATTTACTTTATTATTTGAAGTCTGTTTTTGTTATTTTCACCCCAAAACACAAATAAACTATTTTTTGCTAAATCCAACTTTAATAATGAGCCCGAAAGTTTCCCACAAATTCACGGGGCCCAGAATCTAATTCAAACACATTTCATGACCCAAACCTAACCAATTACTAAACCTAATTTTATCTCAAATGAAATCAGGCATAAGGGCTTCTTTGGTGATGGTTCACGGTGATTGAAGGTGATTTGAAAGAGAGGTGATTTGGGGTTTGTAAGTGGGACTGAGGTAGCACGGTGAGCTGATGACAGTGGTCGCCTATAAGTATATTCTTCGTTTTTTTTTTTGTTTTTTTTTTTATTTTAGAATATTTAAATGGGGAATAACAATAAAAGATAAATACTACCAAATGTTATAGTAGATATTACTAGAACAACAAATGCCAACACATGTTGTAGTCAAGAACAAATGTCAACCAATATTTACATTACATGGTTGTTTGTTCCACGGTTGCGTAGTGCAGATGTTGGTAGTTGTAGCATAGTAGTGTTAGTGGCTGTAAAGATTATGTTCTTTCTTTTTTCTTTTTTTTTTAATTAGTTTTGGTATATTTAGAACTTTTTATTTATTATTATTATTATTTATAAAGAAAAGAAAGAGGCGTCTATAGCTGATGGATTTACTTGGTAGATCTTAACTGGTGTTGAACGCGTACTTGGAAAGGTTAGATATGAGTCAGATCAAAATGCAGTTAATGGTAAATTTAAGTAGTAGTTTCATCCAGCTTCGTTGTAACACTCGAGCACCTGAGAGATTTTGGTGAAAATAATAGGTTACCTCAACAATTCTATGTTGTATTTTAGTTCGATGCTTTAATTCAGATTCTTGAGTTCTCCTTCGGGTCTCGGAGTTTTATGACATTGGCATCATTGTGCAAATTAGATAAAGTGATTCAATCACTGGCATTTGGCCTTCATAAGTATAGTTTTTGCAAGTCAAAAATCCTAGATAAATTTGGTCTTGTGTTTTTCGGATTCCCCTTTCAGGAAAGAAAAAAAAAGTCTCAATTTTAATGTGAATTATTAATATTGATCTGTTTGATTTCATGAGATGAACCGAATATGCTCAACTTTGACATGAATAAAGTTTAGACCAGACCCTATTTATTTATTAGGGGATTTAAATTTATCATAATTACATTTTTGACCCATACATTGGCCCAAATGATAAGTCTCCTTTTATCACATTATTACCGTTTTTTCTTCGCTTGATACTTCAAGCTACCTTTCCATTTAGCTAATTTTGTCAGCAATTGGCGTAAGGTGTTTAGATCTCGATTTTCCTGTACAAAGAGGGCACACCAAGATAGATCTAACTCTTCTAATTGTTACAGATGGCAGATTACCAATATAAAATTTAGATTTATCATTGTGTCAGTGAAAAATCGATACAAGGATAAAAAAACAGAAGAGAGAAAATCGAAGATCATATGATTGGTTAAAAAGTTGATAAATCGAAAAGATGGTTGGAATACATCCGGTGACTACGAGATAATATGAACACATAAATCGAGAATGGAAATCGAGAATAAAAAAAGAGAGGAAAATCGATGAAAGTAATGGTAAAGTACAGTGTAAAGTCAAGGTTAAGGGAAATCGTACTTGATAACTGGAATCGAGATCGAGGGAAACGGTTATCATGCATATGGAACATGAGGAGTGGCTTTTCACATCGTGGCTAAGGTTAGAAATCGAGGAACGGTTAAAATGCACATGGAATGTGGAAACAGTTTTCTAAACTGTAAGCTAAGGTAAAAATCGAGGAACGTGCACATGGAACGTGGTGACAGTTTTTTAAATGCTCTTGGGAGGTTACATTGAAGGATGCCCATAAATAGAATGAAGCTTGAAGAAGAAATGGAAATTGGCAGAGACAACAGAAGCACAAGTGAAAAGTCTACTGGAGAACGACGAATCATGAAGTTTTTAGCAATCTCCATTCTCATTGACTGTGTTTTACTGCTTTCTTTACTTTCCCTGGTAACTTATTTACATTCATCAATTTAAGTTCCTGTACTTTAAATTTTTGTCATTTACCTTCAATACAATATAAAATTATGTACCTGTACTTTAAATTTTTGTCATTTACCTTCAATACAATATAAGATTATGTACTTAAATTTCTTGCATTTACTGTTTCTGTAATTTCGATTTCCTGTTATTTACATTTTTGCAATTTCAATTCCTTGCCATTTACATTTAATATAATTTGAGGTTTCCGCATTTTTACATTTTGCTGCAATTTGATATTCTGCACTGTTTCTTCGATTCGATATTTTCTTCTTTACTGTTGTCTTTACTTCGAGTTTCTTAATACAAAATATTAAAAATAGTACTTTCGATTGTCAATCAGCACACTAAGTTGTGTTGTTAGCGTTTCTTGATATTATGGAATTTTCGATTCTCATACACGTTTTGATTGAAAATTGTCGCTAGCCTAAGTGAAAAGAATCTACATTCTTGAAATTTGATCAGAACCTAATAAATTGAAATCGATCAAATTTTCATCAGAAACACATTGTTAACATATTCATATTTCTGACGCTCACAATACTACTCAGGTTCTTATTGTGCACTTGCAAAACAGCATAATGTCATCAATATATAATTCATGAGTAGGAAAATTTAAATTTATCTGACCAGCAACACTTCTATTAAGAGCTTTCTCTACAAGACAAAATAAAAGAGGGGATGAGGGATTCCCTGGTCGCACACCCTATGGCAATCAAAGTATCCACATAATTTACCAATACGGACAATTTAGCCGATTTCCGAATCAAATGAATCCAGGCACAAAATGGCTCTTCAAACGTGAAAGCTTTAATAACTGAAATTAGGAAATCCCAATTACGAGTATAAAAACCTTCCTTATATCCATTTTGATAGCAATGTTACCAGTAAAACTTTTCTTATTCGGCAAGTTAATTGCTTCAGAATCTATTCCAATGTATGCTTCTACCTATGAATCCTCTTTGTTGGGGATCCATAAGTTTATCAATAATCTTTTCCAAATAATAACTAATAATTTTAAAATAATCTGATATTTGAAATTTGATTATGCAATTGGCCTAAACTTTTCAATTTCATCTGCACAGGCTATTTAGGTATCAGAAGTTCAGAACAATAAGATTGAAGTTAAAGTTAGGAAACAACCACCCCTGCTAAAGATCTGCAATACGGTTGTGAACATCATGTCGGATAATGTCCTCTAAAAACTGATAAAAAGCACCATTGAATCTATCGGGCCCTGGGGAGCTAGTTGGGCATAGGCTAAAGACAAACTTTCTTCACTTGACATAAACTAGGTAGTCAAGTCAGTATTGAATAGTCAGCAAAATCAACCTTCTTAAGAATCACCTCATTGATAAAAGGAGTAGAATCAGTGCTAGCATATGCCCTGGTGAAAATATTCATGAAATGTTTCACCACATGATTTTCTATTTCTAATTTTCCTGTGAGGATAGTTGAATTATGTTTGAGGAAAGAAATTATATTTGTTGCAGCACGGATGGAGCCTTTCTATTGAAGAATTTCGTATTTCTATCTCTCTCAGCATTGTCACAAGCATTGTCAATCTCAGATTGCACATGTTTTACAGCTTTAAGAGCCATGGCCACCTTTTCATGCACATTTCCAAAAACAGATTTATTCCACCTTTTAATTCTGACTTTTATTTCTTTCAATTTCTGATTCAGAACACATATGGGACAATCACTCCAATAACTACCAAGGCTTCCTCTATAATCCTTCTACAATCTTGATGCTTGGTTCACATTGAAAGACACCTAAAAGAAGATATATTCTTATCTTCCTTTCCAACATTCTTTAATGAAATGAGATGATGATTAGAACATTTTCTAGGTGCAGTACTTTTCACCTCTTGCGCAATATCAAACCAGTTCATGAAGTTCTATCAAGTTTCTTATTCGTATGAACCAAACCTTTTCTACCATCTGTCCATGTATATTGTGCACCAGAAGTAGGTACATAACCATTTCATTACTATCTATCCAGTCTCTAAACTCATTCATTGGGTCCTGGGGAGAACTCTGGCCGTGTATTCATTTAGTCCTGTCACAGCATTAAAATCACCAATAACACCATGGACTAGGAAAGGTTTTACTAAGATTAGTAAGTTCATTCCATATTTGTCTTCTTTTAGAGTAATCAGTGGACGTATACGTAGCTGCCATACGTTAAATCTCACTCCCTGCAGAGACAGAAAAAGCTATGTGTTGTGATGAAGAAATAACAAAACAAGACTATGGTTTTGAGAACACAAAACACCATAGTGAGGAGGCCTTGTTGTCAGAAGTATTTGTGGGAAACAACTTCATAGTCCTTCCATAAAAAAGGGGAAATTCTTGAGAATTCAATCAAAGGTTCTACAATAAACAGGAAAATTGGCTTATGTTGCAATTTTTTTTAAGTTAGCTGAGTTTTCTTGTAGGCTAAGCCTCTGATATTCAAAAACAAAGAAATCATGCTAAACTGATGGGTATTTCAGTTCTAGAATTAGTTCTAGGCTTTAATTTTTCTCCATCAAGCTATTCTATTTTGAAATAACAGTGGTGAATAATCAATGCCAAGTCTTTAATTATCATTCAGAAACAGATGTAGTAGCATGATTTTTCTTTTACTGGCCTCCTTTATCTTGCTGCAGAACATCTAAATGATTACCCTCGTTAATCTCCATCACAGGAGGCATGCTATCACAGTCAGAGTATCCTTGATCATTTCATTTGAACAATATTTAGATTATCCTCCACATTTCATTTCATTAGCTATAGTATGACCAAGCTCTATTATAACCGGGCTATTCTCCCATCTATCCTCAACCTGACCTGCCGTGATTTCTTCCAAACTTGTGTCCGAAACCTCAGTTTGCTGTCCTGATTCATTAGATGGCTTCCTAAGAGTCAATCTAGACTTTAACCAGTTTCTTGGTGTTTATTTGGCTCATTCTTTGAGTTTCTTCTCATTACCCTGAAGATTGTCCTTTTGCTTGGCAACAAGATCAGAAATCAGGTAATCTTTCAAGTACAATCGATACAAAGAAAGCATACCCCTTTTTGGTACCAAGAATTGTTCCGGAAACTCCTCATTAAGATCAATATCCTCCAAGATTCTTGCAAAATGCCCACAAGTTCTACGGATAGTAGCTTCATCTATTGATATAGGAAACCAATACATCCAGAATTGCAAACAGAACTCTAGTTCTTGTGAGAGATAAAAAATGCGAATCCAGATGCTTGGTATCTAACAAAATTAACCTATCAATGACATCCTTAATACATACATTTAGGAGCTTAGAAAAAATAAGTCCAGCCTGTAGCTGAACTGCATTATAACACTTACACGCCACATACCACCACATGTCAACCTTCATTCATATTTTCCTTCACAATTCCAAATATAACAAAAAGAATTCCATCTTATATAATAATGAAGTTCCTACAAATATAAAGAGAACATCCTCAATCAAATGCAGTTGTTGAATAGTTGTCGTATGTTATGGGGGAAAATCTCCTCCCTCAATGAATAGAATGACAGTCATCAGATTTATTATTTTTTAATATTCCATTTTAATTAAATATTGTCCTATATAGACTGATTTCTCACCTGAAATTTCTTTTGTTTATCTTAATATTTCTTAACTGCATTTGTTTTTTTTTAACTATTAAATTTTAATGATTATATTTATTTTATAAAGGATTTATAATAAATTTTAAAATGATATTTAATATTTGTGAATAGTTTTTATGTTTAAATAAGTTTAGTAAATAATTGTAATTCTTTGTGTAAAATTATATAATTTTCTGTAACATTTTAATTATTTTATAAAAATAATTAATTAAATAGTCAACTTGAATTACTTTATGTAATATCTGAAAATTAATTTATATAAAATTTTCTCCAAATATAATGTAGTTAAATAATATTTTAGTAATTTTAATAATTTTAAAAAGACTCAATTATATAAATATATATATATATATATATATATATATATATATATATTATTGTTAAACTATTATAAAATAATAATAAATATATATTTATTAAAATAATAATAAAATAATTATTATCAATTAGAATATATATATATATATATATATATAATAAATATATATTTATTAATAATATATTTATTATTTTAATAAATATATATTTATTATTATTATTATTTTATAATAGTTTAACAATAATATATATATATATATATATATATATATATGAAATTATCAATAATTATTATTATAATACATTATAAAATTAATAATAATAATTATTATTATTATATTTTATTCTAATTAAAATATATAGATATAATATGAATTAATAATAATTATATTATATATTATTATTATTAATATGTAAAAGAAAAGAAAAAAAAAAGAGGATAACATTTCTTATTTCTTTGAATAAGAAGAGATCAGTTTTAATTGACTAAAAACTAAAAATAATATTAATTTAATAAAAGGATAAGAAGTATTAATAAGAAAAAGTGAGTGAAAGGGGCATTGAGGTTGATACTTGATAAAGTGCAAGCAATAGTTGAAATGTCAATCCCTAGTATGGAAAATGAGTTTTGTGGTTTCTTACGAAGACTAAATTATATTACTAGATTTATATCTCACTTGACTACCTATAATTCACTCTTCAAATTGTTATGAACGAATCAAATAGTTCAATGGAATGAAATTGTCAGAAGGCTTTTGAGGAAATCAAACAGTACCTGCAAAAACCTCTTATCTTAGTGTCCACAGTGGGGAGATCTCTCATTTTGTACTTAACAGTACTTGATGAATCTATAAGGTGTATTTTAAGGCAGCATGATGAGTTCGATAAGAAAGAATACACCATCTGATATTTGAGCAAGAAATTCACAGATTGTGAAATGAGATATTCTTTGTTGAAGCGAACATGTTGTGTTTTGGCATGGGCTACTCATAGACTAAGACAATACATGTTGTGTCACATTACTTGGCTAGTTTCCAAAATGGATATAATCACGTATATATTTGAGAAACACACTCTTTTTGGTCGAATTGCTTGATGACAAGTGTTACTATCAGAGTATGATTGTTTATGTAACACAAAAAAGCTATTAAAGATAACGTTAGAGTAGAGCTCTTGGCACATAATCCCATAAAGCATTATCAGTTGATGCAACATGAATTCTCAAACGAGGGTCATTGTTTGGAGAAGGAAAAATAGTAAATGAAGAAAAATGGACTTTATTGTTTGATGGAACATCTTAGGGTATGAAATTGATGCAATATTGATTTCTCCTGAAAGTAAAATTATCTCATTTATTGCAAGACTAAATTTTGATTGTACAAATAATATGGCAAAATACGAAGCATATGCGATAAGGGTACTAGTAGCTCTTAAATTTAGGATCAAGGTGTTGGAAGTCTTTGGAGATTTAGCCCTAGTCATCCATCAACTTAAAGGAGAATGTGAGATCCAAGATTCAAAGTTAGTCTCATATTACTCCTATATTAAGGGATTGTTGGAACAGTTTGATGAAGTAACTTCCCATCATATCCTTCGTGAGGAAAATCATTTAGTTAATGTTTTAGCTTCAATGTCCAAAATAAGTCATGAAGAAGATATGTCCCTGATAAAAATGCATCATCAAGAACAACCAACATATTGTCAAACCATACAGGAAGAGTCAAATGGAAAACCATGCTTCTATGACATCAAATGTTACTTGAAAGATTGAAAATATCCTCCTAATGCTTCAGAAAATTATAAGAGAACATTGAGGAGATTGACAATAAGATTTTTCTTGAATGGTGATTTGCTATATAAAAACAATTATGAGATGATGTTGCTTAGGTGTGTTAACATAGTTGAAGCTAAGAAAATAATGAAAGAAGTTCATGAGGATTCATTTGGAACACATGAAAATGGACATGCAATGAAAAAAAAAATCCTAAGAGCTGCCTATTATTGGTCAATCATGGAAAGTTATTGTTGTAATTATGTAAGAAAATGTCAAACATATGCTGATAATATCCATGCACCAGTGTCATCTTTAAATGTTTTGGCTGCACCGTGGTCATTTGCAATGTGAGGTATGGATCAAATCGGACCAATCGAGTTTAAGACATCAAATGAGAATTGTTTTCATCTTCGTGGCAATTTATTACTTCACCAAATGGGTCAAAGCAACATCATACGTCAGTGTGACAAAGAATATAATGCTTAAGTTCATTAAGAAGGATTTAATTTGTGGCTATGGTTTGTCAAACAAGATCATTACTGATAATTATGTTTTGGCTATTATTGGTCAACCATGGAAAGTGATTATTGTAATTATATAAGAAAATGTCACAAATGTCAAACATATGCTGGTAATATCCATGCACCAGTGTCATCTTTAAATGTTTTGGTTGCACCGTGATCATTTGCAATGTGAGGTATGGACCTAATCGGACCAATCGAGTTTAAGACATCAAATGAGAATTGTTTTCATCTTAGTGGTAATTTATTACTTCACCAAATGGGTCGACACAACATCATATGTCAGTGTGACAAAGAATATAATGCTTAAGTTCATTAAGAAGGATTTAATTTGTGACTATGGTTTGCCAAACAAGATCATTACTGATAATGAGACTAATTTGAACAATAAGATGATGAAAGAGTTTTGTGATAATTTTAAGATTCAACATCATAATTCATCATCATATCATTCAAAGATGAATGAGACAGTAGGAGAAGCAAATAAAAACATAAAGAAGATTGTCCAAAAGATGGTAATTACATACAAGGATTGACATGAACTGTTGTGATTCGCACTACATGGTTATCGCACCTCTGTTTGAACTTCTACAGGGGAAACTCCATATTCTTTGGTGTATGGGATGGAGGCAATGTTTTCTGTTGAAGTAGAAATTCCCTCTTTAAGGGTGTTAGTTGAAACAAAACTTGATGGGTTGAATGGATCCAGGTTTGTTTCGACCAATTGAATCTTATTGAAGAAAAAAGATTGATCGTCTTATGTAATGGGTAGTTGTTTCAAAAAAGGTTGAAGTGATAAAATTAAGTTTCTAAATGAAATAAAACAATGGAATTGCCATCAATATTTATTTTAAGAAAAATATCGAAAAAAAAAACTTAAGAGAGAAAAGCGGTATGGATTTGATAGTCGATTATATGTAAGAAAGATATTAACACCCTACAACATCCGTTCTAACAACGATTATTTTAATTAGATGTAAAAAAGTTAAACATCTTGAAATTATTTATTTTATCCCTTAAAATATATATCTATTAAATGTTGTTATTAAAAAGATTATATATTTTTTAATATTTTTGGCTTGACAGATATTATTCCTCTGCTCCTACGTATCCCAGGTGCAATATAAAATCAAAGTGACATAGTTCTTTCTCTAAAAATATTTATGAATAATTTATTTATTTCATGTTACTAAGTTAAACGTATGCTTGAAATTATTTTAAAGTTGAATAATTATATAATAATTAAATTAGAAGTACATCTAAAATTATTATCATTTTTATAATTTGAGTAATAATTAAACTAGAAGTGCATCTAAAGTAATTTAAATTTTTAAATTATTATACTTGTAATTTCTATTTAGATTTAAAATATGTTATTTTTAAAAGTATTTTATTATACTCAAGTAAAAAATACATTTGAAGTATTATTATAATTATATAGCAACCAATTAGATGTGTATTCAAAATTCTTAAACTTTTATGAAATATTTTATTACTACAACTCTAATAACAATAGTATAGCATATTTAATAACACTCGAGAAAAGAAAGTAATAGTTATTAAAATTTAATTGTCAATCTACTAATAATAATATACTAATTTAAATCATTTTTAAGGAAAGAACTAGAATAATTTTTTATTTAAAATTTGGATAAAATAATAATAATAAAAAAATATCCGACTCATTAGTATTTGTAACTTATTTTTTTGTTATATCGTCTAGTTTAATAAAATAAAACAAAAAGAGAGCATTAGGCCCAATAAAATAAAAATTCTTTCATATTTATTTTACTATTTGAAGCTTATTTTGTTATTTTGACCCCTCAAACTCGTATTTTTTTTAATCCAACTTAGACCATCGTTCCAAAAATCTTCTATTAATCTCTTGGGTCCAAGATTAATTCACTTTACTATTACAAGTTGTTTTTACTATT